TCCATCAGCCCGCGGAGACCCCGCTTCTGCAGGCCGATGACGCTGCTGAGGTCGCCGGTCCAGATCTCGCGCTCGGGCCGGAGCTCGGCGTCTGTGTTGCGGCGGTGATGCGACGAGGAGCGGGCGCGGCCGGCGGATTCGCCGCCGCCGCCGTACTCCGAGTCGGACTGGTCGAAGCTGGTGTTCGTCGAGGCCGAGGCCGAGGTGGCGGTGCTGGCGTTGCTGATGGAGTCCTCGCGGTCCCGTTCGCGCTCGAGCTCCACCTCCCGTTCGCGTTCCCGCTCGCGTTCGCGCTCACGCGCGCGCTCGCGGTCGCTGTGGCGCTGGCGGCGGCTGAAGATGTTGGTGTTAATGCGGAGGGGGATGCCGCGCGAGGTGGAGGAGGCCCCGACGCCGCTGACGCTGCTGGCCGTCGAGAGGGTGGCCGACGCGGTGGTGCCGTGTTCCGTGTCGGACGAGTCGGAGGTGAGGTGGCTTTGGGCCGCTGAGGAGGGTTGTGTGGTGGCGGTCGTGTTGGTGGTCGTGGTGGTCAGGGCAGAAGGGTCTTGCGCGGCCGCGGTGGCGGCCGCGTGAGCGCCGTTCAGGGTTTCCAAGGTGCCACCAAGCCCGCTGGCGAACCCGGTCCCACGGCCTCCTCCCGCGGCCATGGCGGCCGCGTTAAAGACAGCCGCAGCATTGCGACCGTCGAGCATTTGGTGGAGGCGTTCGACCGTGACTTCAAGGAGGCCGTCGACCTGATAAGGGCGGGCAAGTTGGAGGAGGGAGCAAAGAATCTGGGGGGTGCAGAGAGAGGAGCCCACAGCGGGCAGGGAGGACGTGTAGAAATAGTAGACAAGGACCTGGAGGGTGAGGTAGGTGTGAGGTAGGTAGAGTACACGGGGACGAGCGGTAGGCGATAGAGAATGCGCAGAGGGTATCTCGAGGTTCGCTAGCAACGATTTAGAGGTGACGGAGCGGTTACTGACAAGCGTGCTGGCGTTGGAATAGTTGCTGTTCTGGCCGATCGAGGGGGTGATGGTAATGCTTGAGTTGCGGCTGGGATACATGGCAACCGCAGGACGAAGAGTAGCAGAGTCAGAGACTCCCCCATCGCAGGAGTCGCGGAGTAGTTGAATAAAGTAGGGACCCCATCTGCGCGTCAGGATGCGCGAGTTGACGGGGATGCGTTCCCCTCCCACGGCTTGGAGCTCCATATCGGCCATTTCAGGTAGCGAGTGGGCGAGACGACCTAGTTCGTCCGAGGCCGCAGAGAACGGTCGTCCACCAGAGGTCAGTTTGGTGAGCTTCGACTGGAGAGAAGCCGGGACAGATGGCGCGCTGTAGGAGACATAGCCCGAGGTGGGTGCAGTCCGGCACGCATTGTTGTAGAGACCGAAAGCCTCCAATTCTACCATGCACACGTGTGAAAAGTTGATACGCCGGTGGTTATAATCTTCCACCAAGCTGCGTTTTCGGTGGCCCAAAATAACAAAGGTATTTCTTCTCGACCATAGAACTCCGCGGTTCCAACTACCCTGACCGAAGACCGAGCCGCCAGCATCGATTCGACCCCAAGTGAGAGTCTTCAAGTCCAGTGCCCAAAGAGCATATTCCTGCTTCGAGGAAGTCAAATAGGTACCACTGACAACGAAATGACCGTTGATGACGCCTCCATTGGGGAACCTCAACCCCGGGGGCGAAGCCTGACTTTGCATGGGTTTCTCGACCAAGCGACCGTCAGGCAAGCGTACTTGAAGCTCCAACTTGACATCCAGGAAGTTGTAATTAGAGTAGATAAGCATTGGGCAACCCTCGACCTGGGAGTCCTCAATGGGCTCCTGTGCATCTCGATCCTCCGCCGCAGAGCCAATCTCGGAGACACTCATACCCAGTAGGGGAGCAACCACGCTGCGGTAGGCACCACAGCTGCGGCCAAGCGTGCTGGTGCTCATCCACTTCAAACTCCGCAGGTTGAAGACACTGATCTGCTCAATGTAATGATTGGAGCTATCTTGTCCTCCGACCACGACCATCTCGGCACCCCCAAATCCATCAATATCCACTCCGATCGTGCCCTGGTGCGGGTTCGAAGACGCCGGGTTATGGTGTATAGCCGAAAGAGGTGCGGTGGCTGAGGTAAAATGGGCGCTGGAGGGCAGTATTGTCGCACAGTGCGCATAGCGACCTTGGGGGGAATCGATGGCTGGCACGCGGGTCCATGTGCGAGTGGGCACGTCAAAGATGTGGATGTCTGACATGACCACGACTTCCGGTTGAGCGTCCTGACCCCCCGCTCCCCCGCTCACGGCAGCAGGGTCCTTGGAAACATTTAGGGCAGGCGACATACCGCCATAGCACACGAGTTTATGGTCTCCCAAGGCACAAACACTGTGAAAATACCGCGGGCGGGGAATGTCGCCGGTCGCCTCGATCTTGGTCCAGTGACGCCGGATCAAGTCCAGCTCGTATATGTCCGACGTCAACTGCGGACGACTCTTGGAGAGCACCCGGCCTCCGAACACGTATAGCTTATCGCCCAAGATGGTCGTCGTTGCGCCCACGAGAGGGTGCGGCTCCCGGCCGGTGGTCCGACGGACATTGCATACCAGGCCTGACAGGTTGATCGGACCGGAGTTGGAGGATTGCGACTGCTGTTGGGCTTGCTGAAGTCGAGGCGAGATCCCCGTCGCCGATGGGTCGTCTCTGCCTGTATCCAAGAAGCCCAGGCTCGACTGGCTTCGGGACATCATATTGAGGATATTCCCGAGGTCTGTCTACCTTCAACCCGCAGGAAAGATGATGGGTGAGCGCCTTGTAATCGAGGAGACCGCTCGGTAGAACTTTGTCGCTATCGTAAGTCTTTGCGCGTATCGTAGGAGAAAGTGCCGCCCGCTTGCGGTACCCAGAGTCAGGAATTGCTTTTCCGGGGATATGGCGTTGAACGAGAGGAAGGGAAAGGGTCGAGGCGATCGAGGATCATCACAGTCGTAAAAGAGGGTTAGACGCCACCCTTGCGTGCCACAGCAGCACAGACCTAGAAAGAGATTTTGACAGCAACGTCGGTGGTGGGAAAGCGGTCGGGTGATCTTCGACGTCTAAATGGGACTGGGGGGGGCAGTGCGACCGGAGGAGGGATGATCAGGGGGGGGGGGGGGGAGGGGACAGTTATCGGTGACTACTTGGTACTTGTCCCCGCTGCGGAGGAGAACGGCACCAGATAATTCAGTCGTTTCCTTATCAATGAAATAGACAATACTTGTGAAGGTATTTACCAATGCTGCGATAGTCAACACAACCGTCTCAGCACAAAAACGAAGAATAAGAAGGATTGAGAGTGCGAGAAGCGACCCTCTGAGCAAAAAAAGTCGGGTGGGGAAAAAAGGGAAAGGAGAAGGAAAAGGAAAAGGAGGAGAAGGATTGATTCCAGGAAGGAAGGCGGTCTGGTCTGTCCAACAAACTACGGTCCAGGCACGTACAAGACCGTCCACGGGCATGTAAAGTCAATTGCTCTTTTACTACGGAGTACTCCGTATATACTTGGTTGTGTAGTTTCATCTTATCATCATCACAAATGTCATCTACACAGTTCGCATGACTGGGTCTTCGGTTTCCCACCCCCTCAACACACACTCATCGTCAGTCCACTACCACGCAGCCACCTGTCATCCAATGCGACTCAGCTCAGCGGTTGGCAGCCGATGCAAACCCAGGACATCGTTCTATTCCCACTCCCTTGGATCAATTTGAAAGACCTTTCTTCTTCTCTCTAAGAACCCTTATTCTGACCCTTGGCTTCTGTGGGGGGTGTTAGTGGTTGAAATGTATTAAACAAGGAGCTGCGGAAAAAGAATGTATATACCTGACTCCTTATGTTCCTTGGCTAGAGCTTCTCGATATTGTGCCTCCCCTTGGCTATGTTCTTGCTGGCCAGATATTTGCCAACTTTGCGCACCAGTTCTTGTCGGAAGGAGTCATTGGGGATCTTCATTTCAGGCTTTCGCAATGGTGTAGTCCTCTTTGTTCGGCTGTTTAAATGGTATGATTCTTGCATGTCTTCACTGACTTGGTAGCGTGCCCTCTTCCAGGGACGCCTGGAACAGGTCAAGAACCCTATGTTTGACCACGGGCCAGGCCAACCATGACTTTTCTTTGATCAGTTGTCGCTCTACTTCGTCGATGGTGACGGCAGGCATCTCCACCACTGCTTTTTGCGGCCGGTATCCTTTTTCTCAATGTCGTTTGGTAGGGAAGGAAGAATTTAGCCAGTAGCTCTTCCGCTTGTTTTTTATGATTGGCAGTGGTGGTACCATCTGCCTGGGCGAGCTTTGGTACCTTAGGTAGGCGTGCTTTAGTCGAGATTTAATGTAACCAAAAGTCGTAGCTTAAAATGCTGCGCTACATGTTTCCCGGATCGTGCCCCACAGAAAGCTAAGCCTGTCTAAGATTGAGAGCGAAGATAGCTAAGCCAACAATTAGTGGAATTGGTGTAAAAAACTTCATCAGATCAAGTGTCCCTTGCGCCTGGTCAATAATGGACCCTCGAGAGAAAGGCAACATTTGATGGATAGTCCACTGCTTTTGACTTCCCGGAACCAGGCCCTCTTCCCCCCGTAGAAGGCGAAGTGAGCGATGCAGGATGACATAGCAACGATCTGATGTTGTTATCGCCACCCGGAGGGACCCAGACGGCCAACCATGGCTCCAATCCTCCCTTCCGACTGTGTGCGGGGACTGGCAGCTCGTCCCAGGAACCTACTATACAGCCTGCAGGAACACCACAGACTCCAGCAGATACTACTGGTCAAGCTGGGTTCCTGCATACATCGAGATCAACTGCCTGCAACCGGCTCGAACTACTTCTCGCTACCTCGGCTGGAATCATCGGGTATAAAATATTATCTCATATTTTTTTCATAACTTTCGTATCAGATCTGTCTCCCTTTTCTCAGCACCAGTCCTGTAGTCGAACTGCATCACTGCAAACCTCCTGCCTATCTTTGGCTGAGCTAGACATTTTTGATTTACTGCTTCAGGTTGGTGAAACGAAGGTAACTTTGGTCCCAAGTTAGTAAAATCAAGAAGTCACTAGCCGAGCATCAAAGGGTACTCACGGCTTGACAATGCGAATGTCGCCGAACTTCTTCTGGGCCTCCTCGGTGGAGACGGGGGGAGGGATGACAACGTCATCGCCAGGAGTCCAGTTGATGGGGCAGGTGACGCCGTGCTTGTCAGTGGTCTGGAGAGCATCGATGACACGGAGAACCTCGGCAGTGTTACGGCCGGTGGAAGCGGGGTAGGTCATGATGAGACGGATCTTCTTCTTGGGGTCAATGATGAAGACGGAGCGGATGGTGAGAGCCATGCCTGGGGTTCCGTTAGCGGATGTGCAGCCAGATTGAAACCCAGAAGAACCAGATACATACCCTTGGAGTCGACATTGGTGGTGTCCTGGTAGTCGACCATGTCGTACAGGTAGGCGACCTTGCGCTCGGGGTCGGAGATGATGGGGAACTTGAGGTTGGAGCCGGTGACCTCGTCGATGTCCTTGATCCAGGCGTGGTGGGACTCGGTGCCGTTGGCACTCAGACCGATCAGCTTGACACCGCGAGCAGTGAACTCGGGCTCGAGCTTAGCAAAGGCACCAAGCTCGGTGGTACAGATGGGGGTGAAGTCATCCTATTCCAGCGGCCGCATCGGTTAGTCACGGGTGCCCTAGCAATATAGTTCGAACTCCGATCACTCACGGGGTGGGAGAAGAGAACAGTCCAGCTGTCGCCGATGAAGTCGTGGAAGGTGATGGGGCCGTTGGAGGAGTCAGCCTCGAAGTTAGGGGCCTCAGAGCCGAGACGGAGACTATTTGAGAAGAGCCGGTCAGAATTGCCGTGATCTATACAAACCAACCTCGAGCTTGTGAAGGTTGAGGTAAGCAATGGGGTCAACTTACGGAGGAGCACGATCCTGAGCCATTGTGAATGGTATGGTACAGTAGAAGGTAAGGATTTATGGAGGGAGAGAGGATGCGGATGGGAGTGGTGAGAAGGTAGGTACGAGGGGAACAGAGGGGGTGAAGAAGGATGAAAGAGAGGCTAAATAGTTGCGGGTGCCGTGGACAACATCCCCGAATTCGGACACTCTCTCGTTTCCCCCTCAGTGCTAGAGCAGAGCCCCGCCTGGAGCCTGCCAGTGGTGACTGCCCCTCCAGGTTGGAACTGGAGGGAACCCCCCGGGCCCAACCCCCCTCGATCGATCACGCAATCTGCCACCGCTTCTGGGGCAGAACACAGTCATTGGTGGGGGATGAGCTCATTCTTGGGGGAGCTGATGGCTGATGGCTGACTTTGGCGCTAGTCCCGCTCAGGCAGGGAGGGGCTTATCGATCAACAAGAACCATGGGACTGATTATCCGTGGAGTCTGGACACTGGCCGGGCAACGCACTCTCTCTTTACTTGATATAGTATGTAGCAGTTGGCACTGGGACCTACCTATTCATGATGGAATTACACCCGGAAGTTCTCAGAATTCCTCCGATAACCTTTATACATAGTCCCTTAACCTGAAGACGCGCAAATCTACCTGCCTAGTCACTTGCTCGGAGGTCATCAACCCATCGAAGCACTCGACTTCAGACCTCAAACGCTAACAGTTTAGCGAAAGCCCCATCAGGTCTACGGGCTAGTCCGCGTGGATGTCCCACTTCGACAACCCGTCCGCTGTCCAACACCACGACCTGGTCAAAGTCGAGTAGAGTATGAATCCGATGAGCGACCATGATCACCGTGCAGTCTTGAAACAACTCGCGGATGAGCTTCTGCACTCGAGCATCGGTCTCCTTGTCCAAACTGAATGCAAGAAGTGGGTCAGCGTTTGAGAAAGCCGAACGACAGAGATGAGTCAACAAGGAATATACCTGCTCGTCGGTTCATCGAGGATCAGAATCTTGCTCTTCTTCAACAGAGCCCGTGCCAGACAGAACAGCTGCTTCTGGCCTTCTGACAAGATGCTGTCGTCTAGTTTGACTCCAAGAACCTCTTCGTCATGGCTGTGGCTTTTGTGATGCGCCGCCAGTGCATCCCACACTCCAACGGAGCGCAAAGCATCAACAATGTCCGCGTCCGTAGCAGCGTTCAACGGGTCCGCATTCTGCCGGATGGTCCCTGGAAATAGGAAGGGCTCTTGACTGAGACTGCTGATGCGATGGCGTATCGAAGATCGGGAGATGAGGGAGATGTCTTGTCCGTCAATCAGAATTTGGCCAGACACAACCTCGTTGAGGCGAAGTAGAGAAAGTGCGAGGCTGCTTTTGCCGCTGGAGTGTAGTAATTCGCGGTCAGCTAACGTCTGAATGAATTCGAGATGATGCTCGGAAACACTGCAACTGACCTTCCAGTCCTACCACATAGCCCAATCTTCTCCCCACCACGGAATTGAAGGCGGATGTCGCTCAGCACAGCGGCTGCTGACCCGGAGGTGTCATACGCAATGCTCGTATCAGCAAACTCAATTTGACCACAGCTGGGCCAACCCACGGGTGGCTCATGGGCCTCGAGAGTCGGATCTTCTTCAGTGGGGGTGTCTTCGGAAAACGACTTGATCCGAGCAATCGCACCCAGCGATGTTTCGAGCAGCGTCCAATTCTGGATCACTTCCGATAGAACTTGGCCTAGCTCGACCATCAACACGAGAGCAATACCTAGCAGACCTGGGTTGACATGATCACGAACGCCGACGGCTATTCCGACCATGATGACTGTTAGAGCAGCTACTATAAGATTCAGCACCAGTGAGAGCCAGCGTTGTATGCACAGGAGAAGATAATAAGGTTTTTGGGCGGTGTCAAGCATAGCAAGCATCCTAGACACGGCCACGGGCGTCCATGAGAAGGCGCGGATGGTGGTCACTCCAGAGAGAGACTCGAGGAAGTGAGTGTATAAGGGGCTCTTGAGCTCGATTCTACAGTGAATCAGTACGATGGGATCAAGGCATCCAGGAAGCCAATGCTTCAGGAAGGAAAATGAAGACAGAACAGCTGAGACTCACTCTAACAATCTCAGTTGGCGAGAAGTGCGAAGATAGAATCGTTGAAGCAGGCCCAGCAGCGCGATGAGGAATGGCAGAGCCGCAGCGATATAAGGCAAGGAAGCGATGGTAATGGCGCCTTGAGCGAGGGCACTGAAGAGTTCTGAGTTCAAAGATGTCAATATAAAAGTCGCTCCATCTTGTTCATGAATTGTATACTTACGGAATCCTAAAGAGATGAACCCACGGGGCAGAATCATGTCTACTAGACGCATGTCTTGGCTGAAGCGAGTTACAAGAGCTCCAGTTTCGACATTTGATAAGTAAGATAAGGGAGCACTTGAGGGGGTTAGTTCTCAGTCACAGTAGTCTCGCCCAATGTATGAAATCATAACTCACCTCATGCAAGCGCGGAGCACAGTGGAATGAAGGTGTTTCGAGGCAGCTGGGACAATGATGACCCATGTCCAGCTGAACAGTTGCATCTACTGTCAGCACATAATATAGAGACGAAGGAGGGTTGAACACACAATATAGCAAGCGCAAGGGAGCCTGCTTCGACCGCGGCCAATGCCGCATATATTCCCAGCCAGTATCCTGAACGCGAGCCTGAGGCACTGTCGTTGCTACTCGACCAACGTTCCACCCAAATGTCTATTCAGACGTGAGCGTTCTATGACAGCTAGAATATCGTAAGTAAGAGAGGGGAGGACTCACAGAGGAATCCGCCAACGGCTGAATTGACAGTCAACAAAGACACAAAGGTGGCTACTCTCAGCCAACCCAGACTAGAGAAGTAAAACTTGTACACAGAAGTGTCGGTTGTCTGTCGATCGCCATCACAGGAATCCGAGGCGTTTCCAGTGTCTGCAGTGGTCGTCGTGAGTTCAGACTGTGATTGAACAGTATAAGCCGCTCCTAGGTCACCTAGCTGCCCTGTGCTCAGATCAAGCTTGTTAATGTAACCTCCCATGTGACTTCGAAGCTGGGAATAAGTGCCCTGCTCAAGAACTTCACCATCATTGCCCAGCACAATGATAAAGTCGGATTGCGGTAGGTGCTGAGCTGTATTCAAATCAGCAGACACTCCACATTTGGAAACGTAAGGCCGTCATTCGACGAAGATTCTTACTGTTGTGGGTAGCCAGGAAAACGGTACAGCCCAGCTGACGTAGCAGACCGTCCGGACCAAAGACATTAGTGAACACCTGCTGGGAAGTCACATTGTCAAGACCACTGAAAACGTCATCGAAACAAGCGATACGTTTGCGAGAATAGAGAGCTCGTGCGATGGCCTGTCGATGTTAGTAATGGGCTTATGTTCGAGTCCTTATCAGGCAGTTTGATAACGAACAATTCTTTGCCTTTGCCCTCCGCTCAGTTTCGCCCCCTTGCTGCCTACAAGCGTCCGGTCTTCTGCTGGCATTCTCCCAATATCCAGGTTGAGCGCACATGCTTTCAAGATTGTGTGATACCATCTTTCGTCAAACGACGATGATCCGCTGTCGCCCACAATGTTATCCCGAATTGATGCATTGGCAAGCCATGGCATTTGCTCGCAGAATGCTATGTCCGTATGGCTGATAACGAGCTTTCCATCCAGTACAGGCGTCTCACCGGCAAGGCCTTTCAGAAAGGTGGACTTCCCACTGCCGACGGGACCGACAATCGTGACGAGATTTCCTCTGTCAGATTGCTCGAGGATCAGGGTAACACCAGATTTGTCCAGTGGTGAGGACTTCCATCCAAAACGGACATTTTCCAGGGAGATATCCATCGTGGCCTGCTTTGAAAGAGAGCCAGTGATGGGGGAAGAGAGAGCAGAGAGCTCAATACCAGATCGACTTCGGGACGAAGTTGCTGGACTTGATAGCAGCCGAGCTAACTTCCTCTTCTCTGTGAAAAGCACATAAGCTTTGGATTAACCTTGGGAATTGAACGGAGAACGTCAAGAACACTCACCAACGCGACTCGGTTGCCTGAGGAAGTCCTGTATTCTATGCAAACATCCGATCGATGCAAATGTATCCGGGATCGCCAGCAGAAGTTGCTGGAGCGGATTGACCAGTAAGTTAACCAACGAAAGTGATGTGATGGCTTGCGAGACGTGGAATCCCCCGGATCCATTTACTGCAGCTACTATACCATACGCTGCAAATGTTGCAAGTTGACCAACGATCGATGGAAGGTTTACTGGGTCATTTTGTGTCAGTTTTAGTTATAGCGCTCTGAGAAGACACATACCCATGCATACACGGATTGTCTGAATCCGGCGGAATCTCTTCGAGATAGTGAGTTCTTCCTCACGCAAAGCATCAATCATGGTTCCCATAATCTCGGACAAACCAAGGAACTTCGCGTTCCGGATAGATCCTAGAATAGCGGAGGTAAAGTTCACGCGCTTCTCTGTAGCCTGCAGCCATGTCTTTTGCCTGGCAGTGACAGCATTTCCCATGCCGAACGACGCTGCCGTGAAGACTAATGCGAACGATCAGTCATATCTTGTACGAAACACGTGTGATTCGGATGGAAAGGCTTACGTATTACCACTACGAAAGGAGCAATACAGACAGCACCTACTTGGGTTTGCAGGAGCCAAGTGGCCAGGCCCAGCTGTAGGACATTAGCCCATGTCTCGCATACTGTAGACAGGAAGTATTCGGCAAGCATCTCGATGTCGGTCCCCATAAGTGACATGGCACTGGATTCGTCTGTGGTGCCCAGTGGAAGATTCATCATGTGTTCATAAGTCAAAGCCATGAGGCCACCTCGTAGCATAGTTGTAGCGCGGTACCCTAGATGCTGGTAGCTCGCGGTGAACACCTAGTGAACTGGATTAACGAACCATTCGCTTCACGAGATACGCTGAATGCCCGGCCATATTTGAGAGACTCACAGCAACCCCAACGAAGACAATCGCGGTAGCTCCAATTAGACCGTAGGCCATGTCCCGAGCGAGAGAGTCGGTTCGCTCCAGAACGGTCACAATTTTTCCCACCAGAAATGGCTGTGCAATGCTGAAACCCACTACACAAAGACGGGGGAACGCGATTCCCACTATTTCCCATCGCAGGCATCTAATAACAGCCAGGAACAAAGCATTCTTGCGACTCTGGTTGCAGCTTGCCCAGGACTCGGCAAATCGGGAGGACAGATCACGAGACTGGAGTCTTTCGTGGATGGTGGGCAGCGCATCGCCTGTGAGTATGATCGAGTAGCCATTTCGCAAGAGCCTGTTTAGCCATGTGAATAGGCCTCGACTGAACGGTCCGCTTACGCTTTCTCCAGACTTGGCTTTCTCGCTTGGTATTAGCCATTTCCGCTTATCGATATTCTCCAGTACCAGTAAGACTAGCTTGATGGCGAGGGATGCTGAAAGACAGGCAGAATATGAGCGGCTGCCAGATGACAACCATGAGGTGCGTACACGGGCAATATCGAATAACAGGGTTGTGAACAGGTAGGCAGTGACTAGGAATGACGGCCGGATGGAACGGACATGCTCCAGATCAACAACAGCCACGAGGACAAGGGCAGCCAGAAGTTCAAGAATGGCACCCGCGAGGGACGTATGCTTTTGGGGAGCATGCTCGGTTGCGACAAGTGCGAGAAGGGGAATTTGTATGGCTGCTAAGATAGCAGCGAGAGACTAGTCGGGTTCAAGGCTTGGTTAGTCCTCAACCTGCTCAGATAAGCATCTGGGGGTCCACATACTAAGATTGGGAGACGTAGACTAGAAGAAATAACTTTAGGAGATTGTTTGTAAAGCTGGAAGATTCTGAACGGTGATAAAAGTAGGAAACACGCAGCAGGGCCGATAGTCAAGATAGCTGCCTCGAATAGAGCAGTGAAGTCAAAGCCTCCGCGACAACCTGGTCGAATGACAGGACCGAACAAACTGTCGCCGCATAGATCAGTTGTGGATGTAGCAGTAGAGCTCATGGCTGCACTCACTCACATGAGATTGACCTCTGGTAACACGGTCAAGTGCAGTCAGGCTGACAATATAGAAGCCATAGACCCCATACTTTGTGCAAGTTGTAGCCTGGGATGAGCTTATCACGCTTATCTTGCTAAGTCTTAGCTCCAATGACCCCATCGATGCCCAGATCGTGTCCAGGTCGTGTCTTATCTGGGATTGGTAGTTGACGAGTTCTCCGGCGGGGATCCGATGCTGGGCACTGTGGACGGCAGCCCAAATCAAGTGTTCCCGCCTCGATGAGGTGCTGTGGCATGTAAGTATGCGGGAAATTGCATCCCTTCTATAAGTGTTCTATTCTCAGCCTCAAAATATATCTAGATATCTCCTCCATACATGATTCTCGATGGAAGTTGTGTTCTGTGATTGGGAATGGGGTTTGGAAAAAGACGTAGTCCCGAAACTGAGCCACCATGTGCCGGATCCCATTGATGGCGCGCTAGCAGGTGCAACGCTATGATTTGTTATTGGAGGTTATACCCAAGCAAAAGTCGTCCTACAGTCAGTATGTAAGTGTTGTGAATCAGAGTAGGCTGCATCAAACTGCGTACAATGTAGGCACTGGACTTGTGCTCGAAGTATATGTCGCGCTCCTTATCGGCATGGTTGTACATTACATGCAGTAAAAGAATCGACCTTGAGCATTCAAGAACCACCAGGAGCTTTCGACTATTGTCTATTTGTCTATCATGAATGACTCAGGTGATGTATCTAGGTCAGATACTGCAGCACTTCTACCAAATTATGAAATTGGATGGTAACTACCTAAGTAACTATACTCTGGAGTAAGTTAGTGAACGGTGGAGTTGCGCGCCAGAAGGGAAGTTTGTTTGCTTGTTTGCTTGTTTGCTTGGTCCGGGATAAGGAGCGGGCGGTGAATGCTGTAGGTACAGTACCTAGTAGTTATTCCGTACAGTAACTAAACTTACATAGTACGCCCGCCCGCCCGCCCGCGCGGCGCTGGCTTTCCCTCCCGGAGGTGTGTTTAGACGCGTCTGAGTTTCCGTGTCACGGCGATCGCCTCTGTCTCGGTCCTATACCTGCTCTTCCTCCTCCTCCTCCCTCCCCCAAGTCGCCTCCACTCCCCCGTCTTTGCTTCCTCCTTCTGCCATCTGTGTTTTGTTTGACCGTAATGGTTTAGTTTTCTTCATACAATTGACCTCGCTCATCTTTGGGGTCTCTCTTCCACAGATCTTTCTTTCTCTTTCCTCAATCAACTGTCCTGGCTTTCTTCGCCCACATTTCCTCTCTGTTCTCTGGACAGCACACCATGCCTCCCCAGCGTAAGCGGAAGTCGGAGAGCGCGTCCATCGCCGAAGAGAGTGCTCCAGCTGCCAAGAGAGTACGTACTCCATCCATTCATCCCTTCCCACCGCACAATTCAAGCTCCAACGCGATCAGGAACGCGATGAGGGGCGGCCCGTGCCTTTTATTCGTGCGCGTCGCCCGCCAATGAAATGCCCTCTGCTTCTCCAAACCATTCCCCATCATCAAAACTAACACATTATCTTCTTACGTGCAGGTTGCGCCAGATACGCCAGCCGACGGCGAAAAACGAAAGAGAGGTCGCCCCCGGAAGTACCCCGAGGGTTCGACTCCCAAGCGCCCGGATGGCCCCAAAAGAGGTCGCGGCCGGCCTCGCAAAGACCCCAACTCTGGTCAGTGCTTTCTGCGCGCAATCCTGCTTTCTACGATTTGTCACTGCCCAGCCTAAAGACGAGTCGATGGCAAACACAACGTTAGTCTGTCAATAGTGAGCCGCCAACTAACTTGCAGCAGTCTCCACTCCCTCCAAGCCCAAGACACCCAAATCGGACGGCACTTTTGGCCGGGGTAGGCCTAGGAAGTCCTCGCCTAAGCCGACGCCGACGCCGTCACGGAATGGCACCACCAGGTCGACCCCCAAACAAACCAAAACAGAATCGCCAGAAGTCAAGTCTGCTGTCTCGGCCAAGTCTACCAGCTCGGCCAAGTTGCCTACCCCAGTCAAGGCGACTTCGGGACCCTCGTACTGGTTGATGAAGGCTGAGCCTGAGAGCCGTATGGAGAAGGGTGTTGATGTCAAGTTTTCTATCGATGATCTTCGCGACCGCACGGAGCCAGAGGCCTGGGATGGTAAGTCTGCCTTGCTGATGACCAATCTTCCTGTCTCAATGCTAACACTTCAACAGGTGTACGGAACCCGTCTGGTGAGTAGTGAGCGAGAGCTTTGGCACAGGTATCAGTAACTTACTTTCTGAACAGCGCAGAGACACATGCGGGCCATGAAGAAGGGTGACCAGGCCTTCTTCTATCATTCCAATTGCAGAGTACCCGGAGTCGCCGGCGTCATGGAGATTGTGGAAGAACATTTTGTCGATGGTGAGAAGCTCTAGCCCAGGTACCAGATGGTTGGCTGACGTTGATGTAACTTCAGAATCGGCCTTTGACCCTGCCCACCCCTACTACGACGCCAAGTCGAAGCGCGAGAAACCCAAGTGGGAAGCGGTCCGTGTGGAGTTCCGGCGGAAATTCAAGAACCTCGTGCCTCTGAGTCAGCTTAAGGAAAACATGGCTCCTGGAAAGCCGCTGGCGAACCTTGAAATGCTGAAGCAGTCCCGGCTGAGTGTGTCATCTGTGAGACCCGAGGAATGGGAGTTCATCTTGGGGCTTGCCGAAGAAGAGGGAGCCGAAGACAAGGAAGCTGAGGCGACTGAGACGGCTGAGATGACTGAGACGGCTGAGGCGACCGAAGCAAACGACGCCAACGAAGCGACTGAAGTGACTGAGTCGACTGAGTCTCCTAAGGGTACCTCTACTGAAAAGCTCGAGGAAGCGCCGCAACCAAGCGAGTAAACTGGCGAAATTATTGATGTCCTTTCAGAGCAGCTTATGGGATGAAGTTTCGGGTTATGGGTAACATCACGTCGGTAAAGCCGGATCTCTGTACAATCAATGGCGTTTCTACAATACAATCAATCTTCTTTCGTGAATCCTATGATTTGTAATTTGCAGAAGTGATCTCTTGTTGCTGTGGTTGTGAATCGAGGCAGCCTTTTGACAATGCATGATGGCTGCTGGAGGTTCCGCCGCATCCGCGGTTGAAGTGGATGGGACCGCGAATAACGATGATTGGATCTTCCCAATGCAAACTGCATGTACGAGTCAAGACTCTGAGGGGGTTGCTGGCTTCTTGCCAGTGTAGTCTGATTGATTGTGTCTTTGGGGACATTGTCAATCCGATTTTTTTCTTTTAAAGAAGAAAAAAAACAATTTTAGTCAGTTGATGTACTCTAAAATAATAGCTGGGAAGAGTAAGTCTATCCGAAGAGGGGCAACTTGGCTCAAGCACGGCAACGCTGATTCGTTGGGATGCGGTAGTTATCGTCTCAAGCGGGGATGGAGAGCCTGAAGTTGAAGCCTCAGGAACCCAGAGGGCGCAGGAAGCAATTGCGGGGACTCCAAGAAGGTTAGCCTCCGTCACTGCTAGTTAACCAACTCAACTAAGCTCAATGCTCCTCCTCCTCCTCCCAAGGCTATTTATTATAAAGTCAACCTCCCCTCTATCCCACAGGCTCCCATCTTCGATTGTCCTCTACTCCTTCTTTTCCTCTTTCCCCGGTCAATGCCACGCCTCCCCCTCCTCTCCCCTCACATCATCGCCTCTCGACTTCGACTTCCCCGCCTTGGTTGTCGTCAGCTTCCCCTCTTCTCTCCAGCTGCTGCATCTCTCCGCTCTCCTCTCCCCACTCCTTGCCGCAATCTATCTCCTCTCTTGCCCCACCACTCACTCCACAGTACCTCATTCACCATGGCCAGCAGCAACGTGAGCGTGCAATTGACTGCTCCCAACGGGCGTCAGTATGACCAGCCCATCGGTCTGTTCATCAACAATGAATTCGTTCCCTCCAAGTCGGGCGAGAAGCTCGCCTCCATCAACCCTTCGTAGGTCTCCTGCAAGAACCCTTATGCGACGACGGAAGCGTGTGCTGATCGAACATCTAGCGATGAGAAGGAGATTGTCTCCGTCTATGCTGCTGATGCGAAGGACGTGGATATCGCCGTCAAGGCGGCCCGGAAAGCTCTCAAGGATCCGTCGTGGAAGCTGCTGCCTGCGACTGAGCGCGGCCACTTGTTGCTGAAGCTGGCGGATCTGATCGAGCAGCACCGGGAGACACTTGCCACTATTGAGACGTGGGATAACGGTAGGTGGCCTTTATTACACCAGCAGCAGCAGCAGCAGCAGAATAATCCAAGTTCTGGCGGTGATATTGACCGTTTCCAGGCAAGCCGTACTCCGTCTCTTTGAACGACGATCTTGGTGAGGTCCTTAGCTGTATCCGGTACTATGCCGGCTGGGCGGATAAGATCCATGGCCAGACCATTAGCACTACCCCGGCCAAGTTCGCCTACACTCTCCGTCAGCCCATCGGCGTGGTCGGCCAGATCATCCCTTGGAACTTCCCGCTGGCCATGGCCGCATGGAAGTTGGGCCCGGCCCTCGCCTGCGGTAACACGGTGGTGATGAAGGCCGCAGAACAGACCCCCCTCAGCATTCTCTACCTGGCCAAGCTCATCAAGGAAGCGGGCTTCCCGCCCGGTGTGGTCAACATCCTCAACGGCTACGGCCGCGTCGCCGGTAGCCCGCTGGTCACGCACCCCGACGTCGACAAGGTCGCCTTCACGGGCTCGACCATCACCGGCCGCGAGATCATGAAGCTTGCCGCCGGGACGCTGAAGAACATCACCCTCGAGACCGGCGGCAAGTCGCCTCTGGTCGTGTTCGGCGACGCCGACATTGAGCAGGCGGCCAAGTGGGCGCATACCGGTATCATGTACAACCAGGGCCAGGTGTGCACCGCCACGTCGCGCATCCTGGTCCACGAATCCGTCTACGACCAGTTTGTCTCCCTGTTCAAGCAGGAGGTGGCCACGACCAGCAAGGTCGGCGACCCCTTCGCGGACGACACCTTCCAGGGCCCGCAGGTCAGCCAGGCCCAGTACGAGCGGATCCTGTCGTACATCGAAGCCGGCAAGTCCGAGGGCGCGACGCTCGTGGCGGGCGGCGAGCCCCACAAGAACGTCGCCGGCAACAAGGGCTTCTTCATCGCCCCGACCATCTTCACCAACGTCAAGGACCACATGCGCATCTACCGCGAGGAGGTCTTCGGTCCGTTTGTCGTCATCTCCAGCTTCACGACCGAGGACGAGGCGGTCACCCGCGCCAACGACAGCACCTACGGGCTGGGCGCCGCCCTCTTCACCAAGGACATCGAGCGCGCCCACCGCGTCGCCTCGGAGATCGAGGCCGGCATGGTCTGGATCAACAGCAGCAACGACAGTGACTTCCGCGTTCCTTTCGGTGGTGTCAAGCAGAGTGGTATCGGTCGCGAACTGGGCGAGTCCGGTCTGGAGGCTTACTCGCAGGTCAAGGCCATTCACGTGAACATGGGATCCAAGCTGTAGGGTTGAGAAATCAGCTGCTCTCTTGTATGATTAACTAAAAAAACGAGAAGAAATCAACAATGCATTAAAAAAGGCAACCCAACAAACAAGCAAAAATTGGAATCTGTTCTTATCGCCTCCTTCAGTCCTGACTCTGATGCGAACCCAACGCCGTAAAAACGACAAGACGAAAAGAAAAGAGGCAGCCAGATCATCGGGGTCGTACAAATAACCCCTCTCCCCGTCCCCCTCACAGTGACCGTGACCAGCCCAGCATGACTGGCGAACACACGAGCGTCTTGCCTCGATCTGCACAGTACTGTACAGCACATTCGTGTCCGGGGGAGTAGAACCAGAAATTGCCATGAGGATATCAATTGGAGGAGAAAAGAAGATGTGGCCGAGTTAGATCGGTTGAGCATAATTTATCCATTTATTGCACATCGTCTTCTAATCGGACCTGAGGAGACAGTCGATAACCCGCGATGTCGTCCGTCTTCTTCCTGCGCACTCTGTAAGGTAGTCACTGAGAATTCGACCATTTCATCCAAGGGTAGGATCTTAATCTCTAGTCTATACTGCAACCCCTGAAAAGGACATAAAAAACACCAGACGACAAGAAAGAACGGAATACTTGCACGGTAGATCATCTACGCTTGCGTATACGTATACGAACCGACATGCAAGATCTTCCCGCATCGACGCCGCGGGCTACGGATTTGATGCCTACAATGGAATGGACAACAAGACAATCCACAACCAAATTTACGGTAGATGAAAGCATCACCGACGGCAGTCACCAACTCAAAGCCACGCCTTATGCACTGCGCTTTTACATTACCCAGGATCAAGACACACTCACACACAGAGAGAGAGGGAAAGAGACAGAAAGAGAACCAGTTACACGACCCCAGGGCTACCTGCATGAATACTAAGAGCAGCGCCGAGCAGATCCCCTTCGCAAATCCATCCGCTGCATGCTTACGTTGCGTTGCGTTGCGTTACGTCGAACCCACCTGTGTGGCGGGCTGGATCTCATCGACATGCATCCCTGAGATGCTAACACTTACTTAGTTTAAGTGGTGGTGGTGGTACAGAATACGAATGCGATCTGGATCCCAATATATGGTAGTGTACATCGGGAATGGAAGTACAGCACAGTGGAAATCCAACCGATACATGTCAACACGTCTAAGCGGAAAAGGCGAGAGCTCTGCACCTGACTCAGAAGAATCGAAGGCGAACAGCTTCCTCATCGCATCACACAGACATTCAGACCAAGAAACAGGGTACCATCTACCACCTCAGACCCAGACCCAGCCAGACCCAAACCAACCCCAAAAGCAACAACCAACGAAAAATAGAATAGCAGAAGAGAAGAAGGAGCAGAGAAAAGAACATGACCAGCAGCATGCATCCAGAGTATCAAGAGTACGAAGTACAAGACACCGCCCCTCATTCCCCAACCCAGACTCTCCTTCCCAAGCATGCAAAAGCACTTCCAGAAAGGAAAAAGTTCTTTGATGCATAGTGGAAGAAGCAAGGGGGGTAAAGCCCACAGCACAAACCCACCGTAGCCCCCCCCCGAAAAAAGACAGTCAATTGTCGAGCCTCAATTCTAAGAATCGAGAAAGAGGATGCAAGATAGATGCCTACTGTTACTGTACTGTACTTGCATGCGTGCATGCATAAGCTGCGCTGCGCTGCGCTGCACTGCACTACATGCATACATGTGTATGTGTGTATGTACATGTACATGTACAGTAACTGTACACTGTAACTGTATACTGTAGGTGGTGTGAGTTCTTGCGTTTGCGCGGTTGGATTAGAACCATTTAGGAGCCACCGAACCATCATTGCACATAGTCAAGAAGCAGGAAGCTACATAGTGTAATCTCGGGGGTGATCGGTTATGCTGGTGCGGACTAAGTCTGCACAAGATGTGGACTGATGAACGCTGCCTTGTTTAAGCCCAGACGACGGACCTGGGGTGTGTTGTTGGGTACGGATATAGTTGTGTTGTATTGGCAAGGGGTGAGCTGGAGTTGTAGACTCAAATGCATGCATTTCTATACACTTGGTCTGAATGAGGTCCCGCTCTCAGACATGCCTACGACTTGGAAGATAAGAGACGCGCTAGTCTAAATATAACTAAATATAAGCAGCTTCTTCATCACGATATCCTCACGCGGTGAGTGCACCGAGAACTCCGAAAGCACAGGGAGCAAGAGAGCAACACCCTACACACCCAGCATCACCCACCCTTCCAGACATACCATTGCCTCAATTGTCGCCCATGTCGAACTCACAGAACCAAGCTATATCAGCTCCATCCAGTCCTTACGAGAACATACTCCCAGCTTCAAGGACCCCGAACGGACAAGCTCACATCTCCATACTAGACATGTAGATTAGAGATGTAGGGAAGCCCCCCCACCCCTCTTATATATCCTCATCCGCCACCCTTTCCACATCCTGCTGCATGTAGAGCCCAACTAACGTCTACTCGGTACATGCATGAACAGCATAAATGTAAATCCCACAGTCACCCAGCCTCCTAATCTCCACAGCAGAAAAGAGATCCACGCGCGCGCACCCAACAAGCACTTTTCGAATGGCCTTCCAAGCCGATGCAGCAGCGAAGGGAGCCCAACTTTGGAGCAAGCATGCGCGGAAAGCCTTGGTAGTATCATGCTGAGGTCTGAGCTTCGAGGGGTATAGATATCATTCCGGTTTCTGGTAGTTTTGGAAGTGGTGATTCATTCTTGAGCTTCTTCCTCTACTGGACATCGTTCAATGGTAAGGTAGTGGGTATTCAGTAGAAGTCACTTCCGGGCCTCAGGCAGTCAATCGACTTGCTACACAGAAACTGTCCAAACCGACCAATTGCAGTCTATAAACGGCATATGACGTTGCCATTGCAGAGGTAAAAAGTACCATCTCCTTATTTTGCGAATGTACAGTACTCCCAGAAGATAAGCACGAGAGAGAAAGGTCTTGCAGTGACCATTCAAGGACAAGCATTCGACCCTTTCTCCAGTCCTCCAGCTGTCCTCCTACACTACGGACTAAGTAGTAAGACGTACATCCTCAAGTCTAAAGAACACCTCTCCCCAACACGCCCGAACTATACCTCTGAACTACCTCTGAGCTAATGCATGAAATTCCCAAAAGAACACAGATTTCCACCGCATCCTCCACCAATAAGATCAACTTCTCCCACCAATTTTTTTCTCAGTGGGCCTCTTTAATTTGCCACCTGAGCAACTCCCTCCCCCATAGGGTACGAATTAGGTACCTATCTGACCGACCCAGGTACTACTCACGGCGAGGGTACACGCATGTGTAGCTTGCCCCTCACCCTTTCCCCCGCCTCTGGATGCACATCTCAGGACACTAGTCATCTGGCCATCTGTTGTGTATGAGAGGGAGTATGTCGTGGCAGGATCCGACTGGGGTGAGGGATATGACTCTCGATTCGACGCAATCAACACACTGTCTTGCTTACAAACAGATCAAGCCTATCTGAGTGACCCGGCCCAGCGTAACCATATGGGTCCTGCTTTTTCTTTTTCTTATTTTCTCTGATGTTTGATGCAAGCTTCGGTTGTACGGTGCAGCGAACTCGTTGAGGATGACCACGCCATGATTCCAGTCTTGCGGGCCCCCGATCTCATAGTCGAGCCGGTCAATGAAAGTGGGCCTGACTGGATCGGAATCAGTCAGGTCGTCATACCCTGATTAAGTGCTGTTTGGTCAATCAATCAATCGAGCCAGATGTCATACCGAAATTTGGCGGTATGATGACGGTAAGTTACCATACAGCGGTAATACAGCTTGCAAAACATGGTACGTTTAGCTCCGTACCGATTGACAGGGTATTCCACACCCTTTCCCCTCCCCAAAGTCCTATCTGCAGTTGCTGCACCTCACCCCCATGTGAGCTGCGTTGTCATGCATGAAGAATCGATCATGTGAGGCTGCCTGGGCCTAATGGGCTCGCCCTTAAAATGGTGACTTGCTGCTCAAGTATCCAGGATGGTGCTTGGACGGTGTTTGGACATCGAAACGCCAAACGAGAGGGCGAAGAGCCCCCAGAGCTGCACAAATCCAGAATCGATGTGATCCCTCATCATTCGCAACGGTCGGAAAATTCCCAGGCCAGAGTGCGGTAGGTAGTGTTGTCTTCTCGGGCATGACTGGGTGGTGGCCTGTACACCGCATTTTCCACTCGCTCCCAGACAGCGCGATTCAGTGGTCCACTTTGTAACTTATCTGTCTCGAATATCAGTCGTGTTTGCCTCCTGCAGGTACTGCCCTGTCCGTTTAGGTGATGCATCGCCGTTGAGCTGGCGTCTTCATTCCCCGCCGGGTGCTGGCTATGAACCACCGCTCATTAAGGTTGCGCCCTTAAGTTTGTCTACTGTGCGCCGGACGACCCAATGTTGGGCGCTCTCCATCTGTCCGACCGTCAATCAATGCAGCGGCTGGCCATGCGCTGCATAGAGCCTTTCCCAAAGACTCCCCGGGCCCCATGAATTGATTCAGAATGACCTCAGTCTACTCCGCCCTTTTACTGCTTCGGGTTCATGATTAGCATCATAGCGACGATCACCCCAGATGGCCGGAGATCAAGTTTAATCCGTTTACTGTGGATTGAGTCGTCGGAACCCGATCACGGCATCACTGCTAAACCAGCTGGACATGGCTGAGTGACGGGGCAGTGATTCACCAACCAGGGCGATTAGACTAGATGAACAGAAACCCAGCAGGTGGTCCATCGTCTGGTTTAGCGCGGCCTCCCTCCCCGAAGGACCGAGGAACTTTGTGGAAGCATTTCAGGCGCTCAACAGCTGCTCAACCATTCCACTATATCTCTCACCTTGCCTATCTGGGGCGATCCGCCTTTCGCCGTCAGACACATGGCGGGACTGGCCTGGAGCTCTGCCCACATTCCATGGACCGGCCATGACACGGACCCCAGACGCAGGCCACAAATCGGGGACCAATGCAAGAAAACCACTCGTAATCGGTCGCGGTCACGGCTGTAGGCTCGAAAGGTACACTAGGTGGGCCTGAATTGCAGGTAAACTGGTAAACATTTCCCTTCAAAGTCCCGAGGTTTGGGACCCTGGGGCGGGCGGATATGCCGTGTCTGCGTCCATGGAACACTGTCGAGGCATTGAGGGGACTCGCCTTGCTTGCTGTCACGCAGACTGCTTCAAGCGCTGGGAGCAAGCTGCCGCATAGATAGCACAAGCCCCAAGGGAAAGCAGCCGGGTGATTTCCTATTTGTCCGCAGTTATCGGCCCGTCCAAGATAGACTCCACCAGGAGCCTTGTTTGGGACAAATTGAGGCGGAACACGGGAAGTCTGCCCGCATCCTGTCACTGCGCACAACTGGGTCTGGGCCGGTAACATGGTGTGACATTCGCTGCCTGCTCAGAATCAAACGGTCTTGTTGGTGGGTACATAATGTACTTTTCCTTCGTGCTTCAGAGATAGCTGGGGAGTTAGTCCCTCTCATTCAATTCCAAATCTTGACCTTCCCTGAGAATTGCTTTTTCTCGGCACATAAATTTATTCTGAGTGACCACTTTTGGTTGTGACAGGGCTGCCTGTAATTTAGCGTCTACAGGTACCGTAAATACCGTAGGTAAGGTAGCTGATAACTCACTTGACAGGTGATAGCTCCAATGGGTGGGGACATGCTTGGTGGTGAATATCCAATAAATAATATACCCACTCCGGAAACCTGAGGGCTCGAATCGCTCAATAGACGAAGGGGCGCATGTATGCATCATGTTCCTTTTCTGGGCCGTTAGAGGCCATGGACGCGGACATATTTCTGAATTCCTAGAAGTAGACGCTAATAATTGGCACGACACGCAGCAACTTCTGCAGCAAAACTGGAGAAATTCCCGGGCCCAGACTCTAGATCGATTCGAGTCGGAGTCGATAGATGCCATCCAGTTAGTGTGTGCTATTTAGTGCTAGCAATCGGTGTGTTCGACCGTCGACGACTGCTTTGGCACGGAAGTGGTGGCCCGATGGGCAGTTATCCACTCCCCTCCCCCCTCGCCCTCTGGCCTTAGGGCCCTAAGTCGAAACTGGGATGGCTGACCCAGCTCGACCCACTGACCATGAGGAGCTGCTGCTGCTGCTGGCGAAGGAGCGGGACAGCAAAATAATCGCGTTTTCAATGAGGTTCGTGTGGGGTTTGTCTTGGCAACCGTGTGCCACGCACCAACTGATCAGCCGTCACACTCAAGTCGACCTTCCCTATCTTCCCCTCAGTGCGCTCCCAACACATGTTGTTCTCCATTGACAATAACTGTTGCACATATATCCGAAGCCGGCCATAACTTTCCGATACAGCTCAGACCACGGGTGCTCCCGAAACTGAATTGTCCAAAACTTCAGAATCCTTGTTGGTCGATCATTCAGAATGTCAGCCTTCCAGAGATGGACGGTCTCCGAGGTACGCGGATTTAGAACTGGACCTTTTCCGGGCGAATGAACATGGCCCATGTGGGGTTGGAGCATAACAGCATGATTCTTACTCTTCTTTCTTGATCCAGCCGTACGTCGACATAGCAGGCACTTTATTGGAGGGTCCGTTCCATGATGAGACCAGGAATGAGTTTCGCTTTGTCGACATCTGGGAACAGAAATTATACACTTTGAACCTTGCCGAAGGGCCAGACTCCTTGCGGATTTTGGACACGTCTGCTTCCATTGGGTGCGTCGCCTGTCCGATAGCCTTCCTTACAGGGTGTCTACTCCCAGCACAGCTTCGAGGCTAACCCGCGGGTCGGGACTGCAGGGTGACTGCCAACATCGCCAATGCCGGAGATTCCCATAAGGACCAGATCGTCGCGGCCGCCAAACATGGATTCGCCCTGATCAATCGCGACACCGGCGAGCTGTCGTATATCCGCAGAGCATGGGACGACCCAGACAGGGACCACAGGTAGGTGTCAGAAGTCGGGATCTGCACAACTCGAAGGCGTGAATCTGACTCATCGACAACGCCATCAAAACAGGATGCGTTTCAACGACGGAGCAGTCGACAGCCACGGGCGATTCTGGGCCGGGGCCATGAATGACCCCAAGATCCAGAAGCCTACCAACGAAGGGGTACTGTTCCGGCTAGATCCTGACTTGAAACTCCATCGGATGGTTGAACAGCTGACGATCCCCAACGGGATTGGCTGGAACCCTGCGGATGACACCATGTACCTGACCGACTCCCCTACTGGTAAGATTTTTGCCTTCGACTTCGATGCGAAGACCGGAGCAATCAGCAACCGCAGGGTTCACTTTGATATTGGGGAGCCCAAGGAGCCCGATGGATTTGCCATCGATGAGGAAGGCTGCCTCTGGAGTGCCATATATGGCGGCGGGAAGATCATACGCATCTCGCCGGAGGGAAAAGTGATTGGCGAAGTGATCCTGCCTACACGAAACATTACTTGTCCAACATTTGTCGGGACCGAGCTCTTTATCACAACTGCCAAGGACGATGTGAACGATGAGCAGCTTCCCAACTCTATCCGGTATGGGGGACGGCTTTATCGCGTGGATGTCGGTATCAGAGGAAAGCCTAAGAATCAGTTCCGCTTCCAGGACTGATCTCATGGTGATAACCTAGCATTCAAAGAGTTGTAGAAAGAAGTATACTTTGACGGAGAGCTGCTCTGTGTGTAGGCTTTTAGACCAAGCGCCCTCTTAAGAGGCCACAATGTAGACGCGAACTTGTTTACAGGACCCGCATATAAAGAGCAACGTTGTGCAGCAGAGCAAGTATGGAAGGCACATGTGGATTGTCCTGGTTCGAAGCGTTCAATCAGGCAGTCACCAAGGAAGCCTACTCGACTCGGACGGAGAACGGGAATTGGCGTCCGGCTGCGATGGGAAGAACGAACTCTGTGAGACACACAGCCTGATCAGAATATGTCAGTTGAATGCATCCGAAGTCCAGAAATAGAACGGGAAAGGACTTGTGCAGAGTGCATATACACCTTTTCAATCAATCAAAGGCACGGAGATAGGGAATAATGCTGTTTGATTATTTTTGTTGTTGTCTCCATGCGGGGGAATAAATGCAAGGGGTGGGGCAGATGAAGAAGAAGAAGAAGAAGAAGAAGAGAAAAAGAAAGAAAGAGTGGAAGGAAGTCAGCAGACCCACTCGGTCAGTCAGTAAGTGAGGTCAGTCAATCCATGAGTATTTCTAGCAGGGCATAGTAGAGTGTGTAGAAGGGATTGATGTCTAACACTACCGAGTTCGACGGCCACCGCGGCTTCCTTTTCAGGTACTGCAGGTCCTTCTGCTTTCCAACAGTTTTCATTCTCATGCGCCTTGAGACTGCCATACTCCACGCCTCAGTACATTCAGATTAAATAGTCTTATGTAGAGTACAGAGTACAAATGAGTGCATGGCCTGGTATCATACATGCGTCGTTCCAAACCAATGAACAGATTCAAGAAGTCACAACTGGCAACTCTTGGGAATAAGATATGAGCTCTCTGGTGATAAGTACAGTACGGTACACTGTAAATCTAGACTGTCCGGATCGATCACGCCCGTGATTAAAAATCAATAAGACAGGCCAGCGGAAGCACCTGGCAGATACAATCACAGAAAAGAGGGGCCCCATTACTGTGCTTGTTTCTCTAGATGTAGCTAGTAGTATGCAGGTATACGCAGACATCGCGGTCAATGCGAATTCTCAAATAGAGGTCGCCGTGCAGCCCCCGGAGTGGGAACCACACCCAGCAATTACGGTGAACCAGAGGGACAATCATCTATGCGCGATTCTGATCTCCTCTCCGAATTGGAAGCGATTCCCAGTTCCCCGAACTCCCCTTCTCTCCAACTCCCAAAGTTAATCGGGAGCCCTGAGCATCGAGCGGAAGGAAGCCAACAGGTGGTGTGAATGTTATTGCATGCATGTGCAGCACAGAAAATGCACGCTACGGCAGTGCCACCTTGGGATCTAGACGGGGCTAGCCCTTTTTTTTTCCTGCAGACGGGTTCAAGAATCCCATTGTCAACCATCGAGCATGATTAGCTATTTTCCTCGACCGGGTCAGCACGACCTGCAAGCATAAGTAAATTCCACTACTGCGAGCCATCGCAACAGCGGGATGGATGATAGCGCATCGAGAGAACCGGGGACGACAAAAGCTAAGGTGAGTTGAGTTGCTTCTCACAACCTTCCGCGGCTGCAGTTAGAGGACGCTACTCCGGAGTACGTTCGAAGTTGTGTTGAGTTTGTGGATCTCGCGGTGTTTGCCTGTCAGTATGACATGATCCAGCGAAATGACTGTACCCTGACTGTGTATACATCCACATGCGAACCTACAATATGCTGTACATTCAGCACGCCTTAAAAGAGCCCCTCGGAGAGAGAAAGGAAGGGTACGCACCCGGCCAAAATGGATACTCGTAATTTTCACAGCTGCAGGGCCCGAGTTCGATGTGCACTAACAGACCATGCACAAATAAAGTGGAGACCTGCGATGCAAGACTCCGTAGGGACGTACGTCCATCCAGGCTTCAGTAGTCTAGTCGTCAAACCACTCAGACTCCGTAAGCTAATGCCATTCCACCGGAATTCTTCATCTAGTCTCACTTAGCGGCGGACCACAGCCGAGATAGGAAATGGAAAATGCGATGAACTTTTCCTGCCATGGCTTGTGGGCACTGCTGGTCCGATGGTTTTCTCGATTCTTCTCAAGTAATAAGTTAAGCGGTATTAGCGGGGAACGGCAGCCCCAACACGCACGCGAATGGGAGAAAGAAAGAATCGAAAGGGAGACAAAGAAAAAAGTAAACATGCTCCAAACAAAGCCATTGACAACTGAAATTCTATCTGAGATGGACCATGCTCTGCATAAGAAAAATTGCTGCTGAGGTGCGGACATTCAACTCCGGATCCTGAGAGAGCCAGTAATTCATTAAACCCCTCGGTTCATGTTTGTTTGTTTGTTTGTTCGCTGTTTCCTATCACTCCAGAGGGTTTTTCTCACCGTCTCTTCATATTTCTGGGCCACTTCACAGCCCGTTCCGATCGGGCTCCACACTCCCTTTTCCAATCCCGCCAAGTGATCCCATCTGCATGGACTACAGACTAGAGTCACTAGACTAAGTAATTACCTACCTGTCCGCCATGTTTCTCGTGGCACACGTTCTCCGATCGAACGGCCCACTCCATAAGTGTGCTCAGTAGTGTTCAAGAGTGCTCAGAAAACTGGCGGGAAGCAGCCAGGAAACACAAATGCATCAATCAGACTGGCTTCCACACCAAGCGAGCTTGCAGGCGACAAAAGGACGAGGAATCGGAGAAGGTATCCGGTGCCAGCTGCGTCGACATGAAGCAAACGGATGAATCGCAATCAGTCCGGAATATCTGGTCTCCACTTCCCGCCTACAGGTGCTTGCGAATGACGAGGTGCGTACAGTAGGTAGTTTACCACCACACACCTTCCATTTAGTCAATCAAGCGCTTGTGAGTTTCTGGAGTTCGGGATCCTGGAGCCTGGAGGTGAAAGATCAAGGCTCAACCTTGAAGGCTGGCTGAACCTCAACGACCTCCCATGGCGCCGGACCGGACCCAAAACCTAGGGTAGCTTGCTGGTGATCCGGTACTACTAGTCAACCCCTTTACGACCACTAGTCAACTGGTCTGGTGCTTCCAGAAGGAAGGAATAGACCTCGTTCTTCCTTGGTATTCGTCATCAGACCAGAAGAGCCAGGAAATAAATGAGCAAAATCAGATGAGCCACGAGGTTCCACTCTGTTCTATATGAAAAACCTTGTACATTCATAGTTGTCTGATGTCGTCTCACAGAAGGCATGAGTGATAAAATCTTGAAAATGCGCCCGGAACGATAGCTGATAGCGTCTCTGTCCGGTCCTTCGTTGGCTTCTACATGCTCGATACGCCGACTATGCGACGGCACCCATTTGATGAACCAGTAGAGTCGCACAAGAAATCCGATATTTGTTTTTCCTTTTTCTGACAAGAAGGAAGCAAGTGGACAACCTGATTGATCGACAGTTCCTATTCTCTGACGGGGTTCTAGCCAGTCAGGTCCCCGCGGAACACCTCGGGCTTTCTGCACGTAATTTGCTGCTTTATTCTGCAGAAGCAGCTCACCGATCCTTGCCGGCATACGGTTGACAGATCTAGAGCTCTCTTTCTCGTTGCTGTTGTCTCCTTTCAAGCAATATCCGGACGTTACACACAGTGTACTTAATGCATTGTTGCCTACTGTCTGTCGGAAGTGCCGTAGTTGATCCGTCTTGATGCAATCTGTATTGAATGCCTAAGCCCAGGTGGCAGGTGCACCTGTGAGAGATCCCGTTTGCAGATGGCTGACCGGGCTGTTGGCCGTCCAATATTATCAAGAGCTTAGCAACCACACTCGACGTATCTAGTTCGCTCGATGCGACCCGCAGTGGGCTGTGTTGAAACGATTGACATCCGTAGCTTGGGGATCGTCCCCCGGGTCAGCGTAAGATGATATACTCAGTAAGTACAATAGCATCGTGGAATTATAACTTCCCGGACCACGAAGCAAATTGGTTGGATCACAGTCGGGGGTATACCTTATCTCTTTCTCATAGAGTAGATGGAGGAATCAAGGGCAGCATTGCCTTGCGATCTCGAGAAGCTTTATGATCTGTGATTGATGCCCAATGACGTAGCTGAAACACTCTCCTGGCCGCCTCCTCTTCGCTTTGGCCCGATTTCACAGACGTACTCCTGTCTCCCGTGTAAGTATCAGAGGAATTGAGCAGCAGCAGCGGTGCCGGAAGGAATACAACAACAGTCCCCTGCGTGGACCACTCAGAAGTCGACCCCAAAGGGATGATCCGTGAGGCTTGATGACCTGTCTGCTCTGCTGCCTGCGTGCAATCAACCAAACTAACTTAACGGACGAGACTTTCCCATTCCAGGTTCCTGACCAATCCCAATCCTAGTATCGGGCTCAGCCCAATCGACTCGTGTTTGGTGTTAGCCAAAGCTGAGCCATCCATAAAGTACCTTGGTCGTGGTTAACTACCTAGTACTCGTTACTCCCATTCCAGTCACACGGCTGGCAAAGGATGCGGTCCGCGAGTTTAACTCAAGACAGCTGGCCGGGTGAACAACGGGGATCAGCAAATGACATCGGAGTTCTGGTGACTATCCACAGTTGATGGAGTCCTTCCATATTTTTTTTTTTTAGTTCGAGCTATTGAGTACTGGTAGTCTGGTACTGACCCTTCTCCGGCTGACATCCGCACTGGCGGAAAGAGATGAGGGGAAGGCAAATATTAGGGGAACTGATTGGGGACTGAGAGAGGGGGGGTCGGGGGTTAGACACCCGGCTGCCCAGAAAGAAGGATTGAAAGGTGATTTGAAACTTGAACTTTGGAAAGTATGTTATCTTCCCGCATGCATGCAAAACATCGTGATTCGGGACAAATCTGCCACCTGAATGGAAGAAAGTCTGCTCGTCCGCTCCATTTGCCGCTGCGAACTAGACGACGGGCTTGTTTTAGCTTTCTTAGGCAGGATGGAGCAGATGGCCTTTTCCTACTCCGTCATGTTTGAGGTAGATAGATAGATAGATAGCTTACCTCACTCAGGAGATAGATAGACATGGATGAATGCTTGGGGGTTAATGTCCCATT